ACCCTATCCTATAGCCATACTGATGAATATCTTGCATATCACCATAGAACCTTCATCTGGAGATGGATGGAGATAGAGACAGAGACCCACACTGGAGCACCGGACTGAGCTCCCAATGTCCCAAGGAGGAGCAGAAAGAGGGAAAATATGAGCAAAGAAGTCAGGACCACGAGGGGTGCACCCACCCACGGAGACAGTGGGGCTGATCTATTGTGAGCTCACCAAGGCCAGCTGGACTGCGACTGAAAAAGCATGGGATAAAACCGGACTCTCTGAATATGGCAGACAATGAGGGCTGCTGAGAAGGCAAGGACAATGGCACTGGGTTTTGATCCTACTTCATGTTCTGGCTTTGTGGGAGCCTAGCCAGTTTGGATGTTCACCTTCCTAGACCAGGATGGAGCGGGAAGACTTTGGACTTTCCACAGGGCAGGGAACCCTGACTGCCCCTCAGACTGGAGAGGGAGGGGGAGAGGAGTGGGGGGAGGGGGAGAGGAGAGGGAGGAGGGGGGGAAAGGGAGATGGGGAGGGAAATGGGAGGCGGGGAGGAGGCGGAAATTTTTTTTTCAATAAAAAATTATATTAAAAAAATGGAGTGTTGCAACAGTGGTGAATTATTATCATATATATGTAAGGAATATTCTTGTATATTTGTATTTCATTTATCATATATAAAAAATAATGTTTATTATTTTGTCTTGCATTCTATTTTCTCCACGCGCTAAGTGCTGAGATTGTAGGCATGGCCCACCAGTCTTGGCTAAGAGGATTTGGGGGGGTGGGTTCTATTGTTTTTTAAATTGACCAATTTGTTTTTTAAAATTTCATTTTACATTCCAACCACAGTTCTTCCTCCCACCCCTGCTCACACTCCCCATGCCTCCCCACCCCAGCCCACACCTTCTCTAGTCCTCCCAAGGGGTAAGGCCACATTAATTTGGGGCAGGACCAAGTCCCTCCTCCCTGCATTAAGGATAGCATCACATCTCAACACAGAGAATGGGCATCCACAAACAAGGCTGAGCACCAAGGATAGATCCTGATCCCATTGCCAGTATCACCTCTGATAGTCCAAACTTCATAACCATCTCTCCACATACAGAAGGCCCATCTGAGTCCACAATTACTGGAGGAAGCCTCTATAATGATAGTTGGGGTAGTCACCAATCTGATGATAGGGGAAGGCCGGTTCAGGAACCCTCTCCACTACTGCTAGGAGTCTTAGCTGGGATCATCCTTGTGGATTCATGGGAATTTCCCTAGCACCAGGTTTCTCCCTAATACCATAGTGACTCTCTCTCTCTATCAAGTTCCCTCTTTCATTGCTTTCCCACTCCATTCTCTATGACCTTCCTGTTCTCTCATGTTCTCCTTCCCCATTGCCTCTCCTTCACCACCTCCTCACCTCCAGTTTACCCAGGTGATCTCATCTAATTCCCCTTCCCAGGGCAATCCATGCATCCCTCCTTGGGGCTTCCTTGTTACCTAGCTTCTCTGCAGCTCTAAGGAAGGGGTTTTGCTTTGAGTGAAAGCGAGGTGAGAAGGGAGGCCTTTCCTGTGTGTAGAGACATATGGACAGCTAGGTTGTGTTAGAGGCATGACATCACGATAGTTATCCTGATACTTTACTTATTTTCACCCTCTGTTTAAAAGACACATTTTTCTTGTACAATATATTCTCATTAGAGTTTCCTCTCCCTTTAACCTCCCCAGTTTCTCCCCTCCTCTCATGACATCCAGATCCACCTCCTTTCTGATTCTAATTAGAAAACAATGGGCTCCTAAGAGATAAAAAATAACAAAATTAATTAGAATAAGATAAAGTACAATTATCACATGGAAGTGTCCTGGTGGTAGGCTGACGTGTCCTTGGAGTATATAACGAAAGTGCTTTATTTGGAATTTAAGGTAGATTGATTAACATCTGGAGTACAAGTCCATCTAAATCGACTCACAGAAACTCAAAGAGACCAAAGCAGCAAGCATGAGGCAGGCATGGGTCTGTACCAGGTCTTCAATGTGTATATTATCTCATTCAGTATTTTAGGAGAACTTTTATTTGTATTTTTGTGGGGCTGTTGAGTGTGTGAACAAGTGGGTCTCTGATTCTTGGGTCTTCTTGTGGGCACTTTTACACCTGTTCATTTGTCTCATCCAATTTCAATTTGATAATTGTGATTTAAAGTCTTATTCTAATTTATTTTGTTGTGCTTTGCTATTATCTCTTAGAAGCCTGTTATTATCTACTGAGAGATAGAAACAGAATGGATCCTGATAGAAGGGAAGGTAGAGCGGAACTGGAAGGAGTAGAGTGAAGGGAAATTATAATCAGGATAGATTATGGGGAAAATCTATTATGAACAAAAATGGAAGGAAGATTCCCAGAAAGAAAGATAACACAAAAGTGTCATGGCTCACAGAGATACACTGACTAATATTTTGTTACTTCTAGGTCATTTGATTATCAGTACTTATCCACCAACATCTCAAACCTAGACCACAATCAGCACTGAGATGTTATTGCTTCTTCCGTCGCCCTCATTTACCTTTTGATTCCAATCCCTCCATCCTTCTCTTTTTGCTTTAGTCTTCATTTAATTTAGGTAGCTCTCAGTCTCCTACACTAGCTCACCTGTTTGCCATTCCTCCTTGTCTTTATCTAGAAGTTATATATTAAAGTCCTGTTTTGATATCATTCTTTGTAGTATTCCAATAATTGTTGAGGTTAAGCAATGTCTTAAGTGTGGACTCAGTCTTCTATAGTCTGGCATCGTCTCAGGTCCTATATATTAATTTTTTTCCAGTTGAAGAGTGGGAGGAGTGAGAATATAGCAAAGAGGTCAAGACCATGATGCGGACACCCACTGAAACAGTTTACTTGAGCTGATGTGAGCTCAGCAACTCTGGCCAGACAGGGAAGAAACAAACATAGGCCCAAGCTGGACCCTCTGAATGTGGTTAACATTTTATGGCTGGGGTAGACTGCAGGGCCAGTGGCAGTGACAAGAGGATTTATCCCTGTTGCTTCTGCTGCTGCTGCTGACTTTTTGGAAACCATTATCTTTGCATGGATACCTTGCTCAGCCTGGATATATTGGGGGAGGGGCTTGGTCCTTCCTCTGGGCAATGTGCCTTACCCTCTCTGAGGACTGGATAAAGGTTTGGGAGGAGGGTAAGTGGAGGAAATGGGCGGAGGGGAGGGAATAGAAACTTTGATTGGTATGTAAATGGAAAAACGATAGACTGTTTTCTTTCTAAAAATACATTTTCACTCATCTGAACATACATACAGTATTTATTTAATGATTTTGTATATTAAGACATATACTAGATAATGTGTGAAATGGAGGACATATTTCAGAAAACCTCTCATTTTTGAAACTTACAAAGCATGTGGTGAGATTCATAAACATGCAGAAAGTGAGAGCACCGTAGGGTTTTATGAACCAATAGCTACCGCACATTTAGTTATTGCCATAAATGGAGTGATGGACAGTATTGGCAACATTACAAAACAAAATGACCACCATGACCAAGATTATAAAAAATGCCTTTCAAGCCCTAAAATTAAGGTGTGTTTTAAAAGAGAAAGGAGGTATGCTAAAGAGGGTTTCAGGAAGCTACTCATACTCTCAGATATGACTGCATATCAGCAACATATAATTATTAATTCCGCATGATACTGGCCTGTTGAATCACCTGCAAGGTAAAGTTGAAGTAAAATTGATGGGACTGAGTAATTCAAAGTATCATTCATTGTTAGCTTACCTTGCTTCAAAGAGCATAAGGTTTGTTGTTAATGTTGTTGTTGTTATTATTATTTTTTTATTATTATTTTTCCTTTGATTGAAAATAGATTGTTTTCTCATGCAACAAAAGTCCCATGAATCCTATCAAAACACTAAACTTAACCTGGAATCCAATATGCTCAAAGGACCTGATGCAGACCCTTGCAATCTCTGAATGTTGGCTCGGTCTCTCTGAATTCACATAGGCTTTGATGAAGCTGTTACCAGGTGTGGGGATGTAGCTCAGAGGTAGAGCACATGTTTCGCATATATGAGGCCCCGGGTTCGATCCCCGGCATCTCCAAAACAATATTTTTAACCTTTGACTTTTCTTTTTCAGGATGTTTCTGTACAAGGTGTCCCAGACTTTAAATTCCCGTGTTGAAATTATATATGCATAGCTAATTATTGGATGAAATTGCTCATTTGTCACTGTGACAGCAATGTTCATCTTTGTGACGGCATTTCCACAGACACAGCCATGGTCGGGTGAGTACAATATGGTCATGCTTCCAAGGATATGTTTTGTTCACAGATCGAACAAAAAAGGAAAGCTTTGCTTTCGTAGAGGGACAGTTTCTCAGATGATGGGTATGCTTTCTTGGGTGAAAACAAGGGTGAAGAGTTCTTGCTCTGAGAAAAAAAGGGAGGGCTGGGCGGAGCCATTCCTGGTTACTACCAGGGAGGCAGCATTGCGGTTGTCATAGAAACCGGGGCCATTATGGCGACCGCTTTCAAAAGGCGACCGCCAACGTCCTGGAAAGGAGCATTCAGTTCTTGGTGTTTGGACTGAGTTGAGCTTATGGATTCCCGGAGGTGAGCACCAGATTCTTCCTGAAAGTTGGGAGGAAGATGCAGGGATTCCAGACGAAAGTAGGCTCACTCCTACCTGGGGGTTTGCAGCCTGTGTATCTCCGGAAGGAGACAGACTTGGGACCATTCTGCCTCCTCCTGTGCTGTTCTGTACCGGGGTGTGCTGGAGCCATTGTCCAGGAGGGGAGTTGTGGGACAGTGAGCAGGAGGGAGATGAGGCCAAATGAGCACTCTGTGATCCCGACTTCCCACTCTGTGCATGAGATTGCTCGCCCTTAGGATCTGTGAGATTTCATAGGGAAGGGAGACAGCAGGGATGTCTTCTTTCCAAGTTGCAGTCAGTCAGCTCTCTGGGCAAACAGAAAAGAAAGCAATTGTTTTCTATTTGAACAGCAACATGACCACACACAGCCACACTCATAAATGAATTCAACTCTAGATTCGATATCTGAGAGAAAACTTTGGTCTTTTATCCTTACTGAGTCTGCTTTGTTTTACTGACCTTCTGGAAAACTTGGATCTTCTCCTACATTTATGAATGCATAGAGGTCACCATTCTTGGAATATTTTTCTCTTTTCTGCTTAGCCAGGGTTTCTATTGCTGTGAAAGAGGGCTTTCAGTGCGTTAGTGGCTAGATACATACGTGCCTCCCAAAACCAGTTCGTGGTGATTGGTTCCCTCCTTTCACCTCATGGGTCTTGGGAATTGAACTCAGCAGGCAGGCATAAGCATATGTGCCTTTCTTTTACCAATTGAACTACCTGCAAATTGCAACATTTTAATCCATACATGCATTTGTGTACAAATTTAACAGTTTCATGTGGAGTTAGTGTTGGCGAATGTTCCATATTCATCTGGAGAGTGGGTACGTTGTCTTCTATCAATTTCAGAAGTTCATAGAGCTACATATAGGATCTACAGGGAAATTAGCTTTCATAAATATTTTAAATGTATTATTTCCCATATGATTATTGTTGCATCGAAGGCAGTGTGTTCCAATCTACTATTGTTCCTGAGCTTTTCCTTATCCGTTGCATTAGTCAGATCTCACTAAAGCAGTGGTTCTCAATCTTCCCAACGCTGTGACCCTTTAATGCGGTTTGTCGTATTGTGGTGACCTACAACTACAAAGTTATCTAATTGCTACTCATAACTGTAATTTTGCTATTTTTATGGACCACAATGTAAATCTGTATATCTGTGTTTATCTATGGTCTTATCTGATCCCTGTGAAAGGGGTCAAACTCAAAGGTTGAGAACCACTGATCTAAAGGAATATAATTTGGTAGACTGTGGTCCAGCTACTCCAACAATGGCTCTGTATGGCAGAAAAGCCATAAATGGTAGTTGTTCAGCCAACAAGACTGGATGTCTCAGCAGTCCCAGTTTGGCACTGAAGATCTAGAGGATTCCTAGGGCCCTGCTACTGGTCTTCAGTCACTATTGGAGTCCCAAAAATGTAGGTTCTATCTCCAACAAAGGGATGCCTCAGAAGCAGGGAAGATGACCTTGCTAATAAGAATGAGAGCACGCAAAAACAAAAGCTTTCTTCTTCCACGTCCTTTGATGTGGACTTCCAACAGAGATGTTGCCCAGATTAGGGTGACTATTCTCACCTCAAATGATCCAATCAAGAAAATCTCTCACAGGAGTGCCCAGATACTTGAGTTTTAGTTGATTTTAGATGTAGTCAAGTTGACAACCAAGATTAGCCATCACAGTCCTCAAAAAAAATATGCCACATTATAGGGATATTTCTTGAAAAAAAAATAACATTTTGCCACTAAAGTTGAGCCCATAGAATTATTGTGGGTTTCAAAAATATCTCTTAATTGCATATTCTTTTAAGCATTTCTCAAATATCAGAACTTTTATCTCAGGTTACTTTTTATTTGTAATTGGCTACTATTTTTTGTTCATTTCTAAGTGTTCAGTGTAACATTTAAGGGGTATGTGCTTAAAAGTCAGTAGTTTAAGATTTTATCTTAACAGGCATCCTGAAGAGTATTTTTCTTTGCTTGATGAATTCATATACATTTATTATGAAATCAATACTCTTGGTCACTTAGAATCATCTCTATTCTATTATATGAAAACCCATAGGTAGTACTTACCTTAATGACATCTGTGAGATGTTCTGTATTCTAGATACAAGGATTCCTTAATCTGGTGCATGGTTTTCAAACTTGTGTTTCCCCATCAGGGCATTGTCTTTATTTATCAACCATTACTTGGAAGAGCATACATCTGACACTTGATGGACGTCCTAACAACAAGCTTCTCAACTTATGAAAAGAGGTTTGTTATATCTAAGAAGTTTGGTTTTTATTGTTTTTAAAGAGCTATACATTTAACTCAATTTCCCTACCTTCCTACTGTCTCCCCTTCCTCCTCTCCTGTGACCCCCACACTCCCAGTTTTCTCAGGACTTCTTGTCTTTTTCTCCTTCCTATGTAGATCCAGAATGTCTCTCTTAGGATCCTCTTTCTTGTCTAGGTTGTCTGGGGTTGTGGAAAGTAAGGTGGTTTTTCTTTGCTTTATGTCTAAAAGTCACTCATGAGAGAGTACATATTACATTTGTTTTTCTGGGTCTGGGTAAGGAGTTTGTTTTGAATCCATGTTCCTGAGCTTGAAAGTATTTAGGTTGTTCCTCAGCCTGTTCCTCATCACCCTCACATCCTCCATTGCACCTTTTATCATACCTAGTTCTGTTGCTCTTTCTCTCCCATTTCTCCACCACACATTTTGCTCACCATAATGGCTTCCTTGAAGTACCGGGTAGACCTGTGAATGTCTTCCCGCCAGCCCAGGCTTTGACAATGCAAGCTGGCCTGTGGGTGACTGGCACCTGCCTGAACAGAATGGTATCAGGCATCCTGGGGATACGTGCCCAGCACCCTATGACTTCAATGTTTTAAAAATTGTGTGTATATTGTAAGCATTGCTGCTCAGATGGAAAGTGATCATGGCAGTCAGGAGCCAAGGAATACCCCAAATTCACCTTAAACATAGGAGCTCACAGCCCTGCTTCAGGGAAAGTTTTCCCCAGATTAACAGCTCTGCTCTGGTAGGGGAGGGTTTTCCCAGCTAAGTTGTTAGAGCTCTGCTTAGAGCCTCAGAAGAGTAACAAGTCTGCTCTGCTAGGAGAAGCTTTTCCAGTTCTGCTCCCCTCTCCTCTGCTCGTCTCCAGTTGAAGTCATTGCTTCTCTGTTCTTTTTAGGCAAAGAAGGTCTCACCCAAGCCTCATTCAAGAGATTCACTGGGAGGAAAGAATCCAGGAGGTGGCTGCCCCTGCAAGAGTGGGAAAGGCAGCTCCCAACTGAAAAGGTACAGGTTGATTTTCTGCTCAGTGATCAGCTGGTTTTCCTCCTCAGGAATTCGTTGCTTTTATGCTGACAGATTGGTTAGTTTGTTTTGTCGAATTGGTAAGTGGAAGAGTGTCTTTCTGTGGCTTCGGTTTCAGGGGCAAAGTGTGTTTATTTCACTGGCCTTTTTTAAACGTTGGACTCTGGTTTCAGGGCCAGTGAATTGATTCTAGTCTCAGGGTCAGTGTATGTTTCTTTTGCTCTGGTTTCAGGATCAGGGTGTGCTGCTTTGGACAGAAACAGGTGTTGTTTCCCCTAGAAACAGGTATGCAGTCCATGGTGGGCCACCAAGTGAGTGCTGAGAACCCAGCCCAGGTCTTCTGTAAGAGCAGCAAGTCGTCTTAACCATGGGGCCATCTCTGAAGTCCAAGTCATCAAATATTAAATGTAATTACTATTTTTCTACTTTGCCCCATAATGACAATAGATATCTTCTTATACTCAGGTAGGTACAAGTTTCATTATTATTTACCAATCCAGAAGGTTTAATTTCTATGTTAGTTAGGTTTTCAGTCCCAACCACTGCCCTACCCTGTCTTCAGGAAAGTACAGCAATCTGCCATTACCAGCCAATTTGTATATGCTGGAATGTATTAGAATAGAACCAGAGTTTAGAGACATCTGGCCTTCATTCATCTTGTATATATGTTTAAGTTTATCTCTTTTGTTGTCCATGATAATTGTTCATTCTTAATATTAAATGGTGTAGCAATGTATAGCTACACTGAAAATGTTATAATTTATTTTTATTTTATGTGTATATATGTTTGTCTTCAGATAGGTATAAAGAGCACATGCATGCCTGGTGCCCATGGAAGCCAGGAGAGGGCATTGGATCCCATGGCACTGGAGTTACAGTTGAAAACTGCTGTGCTGGTTTTGGGATATAAGTCTTTGCCTGTTGCCTGTTGCTGAGGTTGTTTTCAATTTCAGTATCTTGTATATAAAGGTGCTGTGAACTGAAATAAATAAGTCTTTAAAAAAATATGTCCTCTTTCTCCAGGTTATATGTTTGGGGATGTGATGGCCATATGACAATTAACATATGAAGAAATTGGGAAATACTTTTCCAAGTCTCTCTACTGTTCTCCATGGCCACCAGCAGTGGGTATGGGAGAGTTTCATCCTCCACAAACCTGCCAGGTCATTGTATTACAAGTCTTTATTTCTGAGTATTTTATGGATGTGTCGAGAGTCCCCTCAGGGTCACCTGTCTCTCTTCCCTAAGTGTTAAGGATGTTGATGCTGTATGTTTCTTTAGTGGAGCATCTACTCACCCTTCTGGCTAACTTTTATTTCCTGAATTATCTATTTTCTTAGTGGCTCTTTTTTAGGCTTTCTGTATTCTGGAAAAAATAAGGCTGTCACATGATACACAAGTTCCCACATTCATTTTCCCAGGTAAGAAAAATATGTTTCTAACATATATATGGAAGGTAGGACATTTTCTCACTTTATGGAGTTCTTAACAATCCAGTTCTTCATTTAATGAAAGGGGGTTTGTTATATCTAAGAAGTTTGTCTGTAATTCATTCAATTGTTTTCTGCTACAAGTTTCACGTTTAGGTTGTTTTTTGGATCAATTACCTTTTAGATTTATTTTTACTACTTACTGAGTGTCTGCCTGTATGTCTGTGTGTGCCGTATGCACGTTTGAGTGCAGATGCCAACTGAGACCAGAAAAGACTGTCGGTTCCTCTAGACCTGGACTTATAGGCCACTGTGGGCCACCATATGGGTGCTGGAAGCTGAAGCCAGAAAGACAGGGCATTGAAGTTGACATGAGAGGGGAAAGAGCCTCTCACCCTGTGATCTAATTTATATTTTTGTAACTGCCACTCAAGAAACCTCAACCCAACTGATAGAGCTGAAATTATCTACAGGTATAATGCAGCTTTTCCTAAGACATCTCAAAAAAGTTTTAAAATAACAAAAAATAAACTATGGCCTGAGAGATGGCTCATGTTTTAAAATCACTGGATGTCTTCCCGAGGATCCAGGGTTGATACCCAGCACCTACCCGATGGTTCACAACTGTCTGTAACTATCTCCTCCCACCTTATATTCCTCTCTTTTCCCAGCCATATCCCTTTCAGACTCCATCTCCCTAGTGCTGGGATTAAAGGTGTGTGACACCAAAGCACTTTGATGAAAGATGTGAGTAACCACTGCCTGACTCTGTTTCTCTTTAGACTGGGTCAATCTAATGTAGCCCGGGATGGCTTTGAACTCACATAGTTCTGTTTCTTGAGTGTTGGGAAAGGTGCGTGCCTGGCCTCTATGGCTAACTAGAGGCTATCAGCACACACTGGTCCTCAGGCAAGCTTTATTGTCATGGAAGAAACAAAATATCACCACAGTCGACGATTCTATACATCATTACTCTCTCTCATCAATGATTTGTCCCATTCAGTGTCTAGGCACTACAGAGAAGTGGGCAGAGTTTTCCTAATTATTTCATATTTGCTGATGCTATCTCCAGTGACAGGGATTTTAAATTACTGCTTCCAGACATTTCACTGTGTTCAACTGTCTGTGGGTAGATTTAAACAGAAGCTCTCTTTTAGGTTGAAGTGTCAGGTTACTTTCCCTATGATTAAAATATCCTTGATGCTAACATATATTTGCTGTGTTTCAATTTCAGGATTTTGAAGTTGCAAGTGAATTATGAAAAAAAGAAACAAATGTCAAACAGCCAATTTTGGGGAAATATTCTAAAGCAGCCACAGGTCAAATATTTGCCCAAATGGAATCTGCAAAACCATAAAGCTAGTCCTTTACCTCCCAGCAAGCTCCATCAGAGAGGTTCTGAGATCAGGGATGGAGAAAGATGGTGACAAGTGAATATGTATGTATGAATCTGTATTTACAGAAAGGTCTATATTATGAAGAATCCTTAATCATTTTCATAATTTCTAATATAATTTTAGAACACAAAAAGAACAAGGCTATTACTCATCTGTTTCCTTCTTATTTTCCCATCAGTCACACAGATTTTAGCAGTGTCTGCTGTGGACTGTGTACAGAGGGGGTGTTTTATGGATGGTTTTGCCATATGGATTATTACCATGACACCTGCTAAGTGTTGCTCTGATACCTACTTCCCTGTGCAGTTACTAGTCTACAAGCATTGCTTGTCTTTGAGTAAAGTTTCCTTTTTTTCTTTTGATTATGAATGTATTTACTCATTCCTTTGTGTCTGCTCAGAAACACCATTTTTAGAAGGAGTACTCCTTTGTCATCATTATATATTGTGATGCTTAAATTATCCCACAACGTGCCCATGGGAGGACACACATTCAAATGTACTTGCTCTTCACTATTTATCTGTCTAGAATTCTGGATTATCTGACCACCCCTGGGAAGACAGTAATCACCAAATTCTAGTTGTCAGTGACACTTTGTCTCCTCTGTCTGTCAATGTCAGGTCTCTTCTATGAGAAGAACAACAGGACTGTAGAGAGAACACGCAGAAGGTTGACAAGAAGCTGACATGAGCCCTTGTTTCAAGTGTGTGAATCATCAGTGCCACCAGTGTGTGTGTGTGTGTGTG